ATAAATATAATTATTTATTTTAAAATATGATTTAAAAAAATATTATTCTCTTCATGTTTCAAAAAATGTTTGAAGTTTTGTTTTGAAAATGAGACTTTCCTCATTATATGTTTATTTTTCTGGAATAATGAAATTATTACATAGAAATTTATATATATATATATATGAATGAAAATATATATGTTCAGAAAGATCTTTTAATGAATGGAAAATATTTATTGTCAATGTATTTTCTGTTTTTTATGAGAAATGATCTCTTAGACTTTATTTATTTTAAACGCAAAATTATTGGAAAAAAAATAAGTAAACAAACGCCCGACGTTGGGGTGTAATGAAAGGATAAAAGATGAAAGAAGAAAATGCGTTAGTCCATCTTATGTACGTTTTATTTTGAACATTGGAATCTTTTACTATCTGTTTACATATATATATATATGTATATATATATTATATATATCTCTGATATTGAGCGCTTTTAATAACTACCGCGCATATAATATATAAATAATTATACATATATATATATATATATATATTTATATATATATTTATATATATATATATATATATATATATATATAGACAAACCTTCCCAGACGATCCACTTAAATGAAACGTCAGGTTTGTCTGGTTGTCTAGGTTTATCTAGGTCTGCTCTACGGTTGTATTGAGCTCTTTTGTTAGTTAGTTGTTTACTCGTATCGGGGTTTTTTTCTTTGGGCTTCAAACCTGTATCTGTGCGATTTTTTTTTTTCGACAGACTTTCATGTTTCTAGCTCTTTTTTTTTTTTAAAACCTTTTTTTCCTCGAGATTGATTTGATTATTGGCAAATCAAAAATTCGAAGGTTTTTCGAAAACGAGTATAGTTACCTATATATATATATATATATATATATATATATATATATATATATATATATATGTGTGTGTGTGTGTGTGTGTGTGTAAACTTAAAGGTAAGAATTTAATTCATCTACATTACATAATATTTTTACTTTTAGACTTTATTTTTTCAAAATTGGTATTGTATTTTTTTTTAATAGTACTGTTTCCTGGTTGATTCAAAAGGTTGACCATGGAACTTTTATAATAATGGATTTTTCCTTGTTTTATATATATATATATATATATATATATATATAAACAGAGTTATTAAACAGTGATAAAAGAGATTTGATTGAAAGAGAGAGAAAGAAAGAACTTCTCCAGAAACCCCATAAATGGTAAAAACTTTACGATTTAGACGTAGAGCAAAATTTCAATTAGCTATTAAATTTTTGTCCCCCGTTAAGGATTTCTAAAAATCTTTTTAAAATATGAAGTTTTCATACGACAAAAACGTAAACAAGTATTTTTTTGAGAGAATTCTTTTCTATCTGAAACTATTTTATAGTTTCAAGGCTTGTAAAATTTCACTGTTTTCCCATTTTAATTTTCTGATATATTTAAATTTTTTCAATGAATATATTTGGAATGCTATATGACGAGTTTAACGACAATAAAATATCCGTAAATAAATATTTTATTGATCGCATTTTTTTTAAATAATAATCAAATTTAGAAAAATATTTCAATAATAATCATGCCATTTAGGAATACTGATCGTTCTTTTGAAATAGGGGTACAAATGTAAAGATTTGACAAATTTTTCGATTGATGATGAAACAGACGTAAAAAGAAATTTCATCAAATCTTAGACTTTCCAAATTTGAAATTTAATTCTTTTTTTTTCAATCTTTCTTTCTTTGTTTCTTTAAAAAATATATCTTATTCCTTATATATATATTTACATATTTCTTTTTTCTTTATTCATATATTTATTTTATTTATATACTGAAACCAATAGTGTCTCTTCCTACTTTTAATTTGAAGAATAAATTTTGGATTTTTATGATTTGGCAGATAGACTTAAATATATACTATGACCTTCTTTCTTTGTGAATTTCTTTCTTTCTTATCAATTTTGATTCACTTTAAGCAAATTTCCCTTCTGTGGTGCGTCATTTTTCATTTAGACTTTCTTTTCTTTCTTTCCTCTCTAATTCAACTTTTTTCTTTTTTTCTATATTCTTTCTGAAATTTTTTTGATATTTCTTTCCTTTATTTCTTATATTTTTGATATTCTTCCTTATCTTTTTATTTTCTTTTTCTTTAATTTCTTTTTTTTAATAAATAAAATTTTTTTTTATATATCTTATATATATTCTTTCTTTTATTAAATTTTGTTTTTTCTGAACGAGGATTTTTAAAACTTTTTTCCATCTTCTTTTTCATATAAATTTATTTATTTATTTTCTTTTATATATTCTTTCTTTATAAAAATTTTGTTTTTTGTGTTTTTGCATAAGAAAAAAAAATTTATATTTTGCAACGATTTTTTTCATGAAACTGTGTCAACGTTAATTAATTTCAATATAACTTAAAACTGTATAATTTTTTTTTTTAAATATATTATATTATATATATACCTTCTTTCTTTCTTTCTTTCTTTCTTTAATT